CTTTTATTATATATATTTTTTTTTCTCTCGCAATTCACTCAATTAACACTAATCGTAATTTACGATTAAAATTCACATCGTAACGCTTAAAATTTTACACACAAATTTCTTGAGAATCACATCTAAATTAATTCAAGTGCGACAGCTCCTTCGAATTCGAGCAGAGGCGCTCCCACATTTACAYAAATATTTTCTGTCAGCAAACCACACACACATTAACATGCACACCCAACAAGCTGACATACTTTCAAGCACGACTTAAGCCGAGGAAAAAGCTGATACTGATATCTAAAATAAAACACACCCACAAAATTTTGCTTTTGTTTATAAACAAACGGCCTATTTTCTATAAAAACGAAAAAAGCGAAAGAAAAACGTAACACAGCAACAAAAAGGTGAGGAAATATTTTTGGCATTTTACGTTAATTGTGCTGTAAATGGCAACTGCCAAAAGCAGCCAAAATGAATTATACCAAATCGAGACAAAACATCTGTGTAAAGAGAGCGCAAAAGGTGACATCGCTCGRTGTATGTATAGTATCTGTGTGTGTGTGTAACTGTTTGAAAATGTATAAACATTTGCCTACTAAGTGGTTTTTGCCATTTTTTTTTATAAAAAAATATAATTCAGAGTATTTTTATTCCATTTTTTGTTTTCTGTTGTAGTTGAGTATTCATTAGCGCTTGATTTCTGTCGCATTTCCATTTTAGAAAATCATATTTATAGCTCAATATTTATTGATTTATTCATAGCAAAATTACTCGTTTGCGTTGAACGAGACCCTTTAAATGCCATTTCTGGAAAGTGGAAATCAATAAATGTCAATAAAAGTGACTTTTCAGGTTGTTGCTTATTAGTTGAGCTTTGTGCTTCAAATTGGTCGTAAAATGGAATATGCTTTAAAAATAGAAATGAGTGCGTAATTACAGAAATACTTATTCTCTCATACTGGATACCTCCACGTAAACWCTTTTCAAGCTTGTTTTTTCTTAGTTTTTTCGTTCAGCGTTCTTGACAAATTATTGGTATGTTTTTAGATTTTTTCAAAATGTTCAGTGACTCATGAAATAATTTTTTCTCTTTCGAAATMCTTTTTTCACAAAGTGAACCTCCTAAATTGTCCCGGAAAATGTTATCAAAGGTAGGACTAATATCCAAACCTCGGCTATAATGTGAGAGAGCTGGATACTAGTGAAGTGATCCTCAGGAAATGGTAACCCATTAAGAGGTTAAATTCACTTGCAAGTCGGGAAAGCAGTACTTTTTGTGAAACTCTTAGGAGAACATACGATGAGGAAGATTTTTCYACTTAGTATTATATCAAATCTCAAAAACCAAAAGAAATCAAACCAGTCATTACAATCCATTGTTTGTATGACAGAATTCAAAATTTTATTTCGAAATTAAAGTTCTAACTTTTGTCGAAAAGTAAATATTTCGCTCTTCGAATTTCGAGCATAATATCTGATATATGTACATATAACTTATCTCCCGGATGGAACCATAAGCTCATTTTCTGGTAAAAAAAAAACACTTTTTGTTTGCTCTCAGTGATTTCAAAACGCTAACACCCACATAAAAGCCGAAAGTTTCTGACACCTAACGCAATAATCTTGCWAATTACTGCCTAACACAGCGTACGTAGTAGAAAAATATAATAAGTAGAAATATATACTATACGAGTATATATACGAGTATATATTTCTACTTATTATATTGTTGTACTCTGTGTTTGGCAGTAATTCAAAGAAGTGTGTATAAATGCTTCTGCAATTGTAAGGCAATTTTCTACAAGGTCACTATGAAATTACTTTCAATTTTCTGTGCAATTTAAAAAATCTCATTGTGTGAATTGGCAGATTTAATGGGTTCGAAAACTGAGTCATCTTGTGTCACGCCGAAAGATAGCTCAGCTATGTATGTATATTTGCTAAGGTCCAACCACGCCTGTATGTTTGTAGGTAAGTTTTGAAGGAACATCAATCAGCTGCAAAACTAGTTTTGCAAAGTCACTGGAAATGTTTATGTATTTATGGTATATACATACATACATACTTGTATATGTGTGCATAATATACTGTTGTATTTAGCTATAAGCTGGAGGCAAAGTTTGGCTACTTAATTAGGACGGACAGTTAAGTTTTTCAGCGGAATAATAAAATAATATATGAAAATATAATAATTATGCATGAAGATTGTAAATT